AAAATATGTGATTTTACAATATTTTGCTATTTTTTAAACAGTTGTATAATCTGCCAACATACACACGTTTATGTCTTAATAATGAACATATTTTTTTTCTCTCTTTTAGGAATGCTCGGTAGTGATGAAAGGTCAAAGATAAGACTGTGTTACCATTTCCTTAATTAAAATGTCAAAATATTTTTCTTGTTGTTCTTTTTGACATTTTGGACTAAACATGCTAAACTAGAAATGAAGTTTTCTTTTTTATTTCACAACTTTCAATTGTTTAACAACCTGTATCACTTTACATCAAAACTTGTACAAGGAGATTTGATGAGTTTTTCATTTTGCTTTCTGTAAAACAAAATCAATCTGAAATCTATATGAAACCTGCATGTCATATGACAAAATTGAAACAGTTGCAAGTCAAACTTATTACTGTCTTCTAATGCATAGGGTACATTTAGTTTTGCATTCAGAATACTGTACATTTATATGCAGTGTATCATATAACACAAAATGAACAATTAGTCTACACGTTTTTCTACCTGGTGAATATACTTCAGAATGAACCTTTCTTCAGCTGTGTGTGTATGATTCCGCGACATATTGGCATCCACCTCTCCTACACATGGACCTTCGGTCATAAAACTATGGAACATTATGTAGTCCATGGATATTTTTACATGTCCAGTCACTGTGAACTTTCCTAAAACTTTCTCGGCATGTTTTAAAACCCAAAGCTTTTCGTTTTCTAATGTATAGTACTTGTTTTCATATTCCATTACACTGACTTCATGACTGTGCTTCCCGGAAGTGAATAATTCGACTAGTTTTCCCGCGATTGACTTCCCTTGGTAAGTGTCCTGTATGGTACTTGTCGTGTACATTGTCTCAGAAAGATCAAGTTTTATGCTTCTCTTTGTTGGTAAGCCATTCAGGGTAACAAAACTTTTCCACTTTCCTCCACTAATTTTATCAGTGGATATCAGGAAACTGTGAAGTCCATAAATGGGATAGTTAAGAAATGGTTTTGGAACAACTTTTCCAGAGATGATCACATTGCCAGAGAATCTTTCCAGTGTTTGTAATTTCCACAATTTCTCATTTTCTACTGAATAATATTTTCCTCTGTGCATAAACACATCCAAAGATACGTGCCAAGATTTGGTCAAATTTTCACACCATTTATCCATCATTTTTCCGTACAAACTTCCATCAAATGCTAGAAACAGACCAGTGTCGCCTGCAAAGCCTACATCCAAAGGCTTGAGACGAACGACTTTGTCTCGTCTCTCTATAGTTAGACTTTGTGTGTTTACTTTTTCTAAAGCACGTCTTGAATGGGATGATTTATACCCGTATTTGGTGTATACAGAATGTAGTAGAGAAGTTGGCGTATGTTCCTGAGATCGATAACTTCTATAGGGGATTCTTTGTTTTGAACTGTCGAAATTTTTAGATGAGAAACTATAATCCGGTACACAAGGTTCCGACTCCTTCTGCGACAAACTTGAGCATTTTGAAGCACTAGAAACATGAGAAATGCCAGGTTTATTAAATCTTGGATCTGTCTTTGGGTTGCTATAAGCTGTCGCCACTGAATGTTTAGAGTTTCTGTCCTTGCCGTGCTGGCCACGATCACTGCTTTCTTTCAAAGCAAACGAACAAAGTGATTCTGCAGATGAAATATCAGACAAAGATCGAACGTCAGGACGATCTGTTAATGATAATGAGCGCAATGAAAATGGAATCGAAAAGTGACTTGAATGTTTGTGCCATGTGCTGGTCACTTCGCGCCTTTTTGATGCCTCGTGCTTGACCCATAAAGTTCCACCAGCGGGTCCCCTTACTGTTATCGTTGGCAAAACACGGTCCTTTTTGGGATTTAAAGCAGACGTAATCGTGACAATAATTTCATCACACTCTCCAAATTGCTGCAGTTTCTTGAAGACCCAAAGTCTACGATTGTCTGCTGTTACCCAAACACCTTCCTTATTTACCACAGAAATGGACGGGATATCATATACTTCACATTTCCCTTGCAAGATGTCGTCAAGTGTTTCTCCAATGAATTTAAAGCGGTGGGGAGTACATTTTCCAAATCGGTTCGAAATCGAGTCCTGGCTAAAATATATATCAGATGGAGGCAATTTTACCTCTGCCATACTGCATAATCAAGCCTAATGTATGCGAGGCTAAATAAAATTAAGATCACTCCATGTGCAGTTATATTTTTAACGACAATAAGCAGACGACACACAAGGTTTTCAGAATGAGAGAATTATAATAATGATTACAGTTTAAACGTGCCTAACATTCACCGGAAGTCCGTGCTCAGTTATGTTTTATAAGAAAGCGCATTGAAGTGGTAATTTTTTTTCCGTTTTGGTATGCAAAGTGTGGTGTTTCTTAGCGCATGTCAATGTTACGTAATGACACACCCATTTCTTTACTATTAGAAACGAGAAAAAATATTAAGGTCGTAATGCTTTAGGACACGCCAATCTCTGCGACTTGCAACATTCTTTGATATTACCGGTATACATGTATATATATTTTCAGATATTGGAGGAAATTCAACCAGCTATTCTCAAGAAAATGTTGTTTTAAATTTTCTTTTGTCTATTTTTGTAAATTTAAATAAAAATTATGTAGATTTTATTTATAACTTTGTTGGTTGTTATCTCAATATTTTATAACATTAAATTTTAAATAGAAATTTAAATCACTAGGCTTTTAAAAATATAGAATGGAGGGTTTTAAAAAAATAAAATATTTTAAATATTTCAAAAAATAAAGTGAAATACTTTGAACCCTTATTTATCGGATATTGAGCCTATTATTAGAAACAAATGCATGCAACAAAAATCAATTATACTTCATAGGTGTAGAGATCCTCCTTAAACTGAAATGTGAGATTTCATAAGTGAGAAGAAAGAAAGAGAGCCCCAGTTTCTGTAAAACACGCACTGAAACGAATGTGTACCTAATTTTTGAACTGATCAATATCATATTTATTGGAGTTGCCACATAACGTATATCGATCGATCGAACACGTGCTTACTCGGTTGTTTATGGAACGGTCATAGAAATGGAAAATAGGAATATAGGAAAATGCCCTGAAAATTATAATAACAAATAATAAATACATAGCATAAAAGATATATTTTTCAAAATTATATAGTTTATACCATCTTTTACACATTGAATTCTGTATTTCATTGTTTTAATATTTTATTAATAATTCATATTTCACTCATATTTTTAAGATATGTGAAAACAAAAAAGAAAAAGCTTCACGTATGATTCGAACTTTCTCCATATCGCAGGGTTTGGTCCAAGACCGACCGCTTTTTTTTTTCTCTCTCTCTCTCTTTTTTTTTTTTTTTAAATGAACGGGTTTGTTGAAGCGTAATTTTTTTAAAAGAAATTTTCGCCCCCTTGCTATAGACAGCTTACCCAGATTCCATTTTTTGGACAATATAAATAGATATCACATTTAAATCTCACTTTTAAGCGTTATTTAAAATTGGCGCTCTTAGACACATACTTTTATATTCAAAATTCGTTTTTTATATTAAACCCATTTTCACTAAATATGCTTAACTGTCAACTTTGAAATAAAGATTATCAAATGATAAGTCGTTCAGTAAAATAAAATAATAAAAATGTTCTGAAGATGACATTACTGAGAACATGATTTTAGAAAAATATATCTTTTCTGTGAATTTTGAAAATTGAGAAACATTTTGTTTCAGACACGTGTACCACACAGATATACGCTTTTTCCAATTATAGATTGGCTATCATATTTATGGAATACGTGTTCGACAGCTGCATCATGTGCATGTAAGCGAATAAACAATGTGACTGTTAATTGCCTTTACTTTCTAAAGAAATAGGCGTGTCATTATATTGACAAAGATCTAAAGAGAGACCAAAATACCCTATTTAGACGGAGGATTTTACCACTTTGATGCGCGTCGTGGTAACTTCATAAACATGATAACTTCATAATTTTGTACATATTCGAATTTGTTGCAATACGTGTTTTACAGAAGCGTGGTCTCTAACATCACTCTTCTAACTTTTTAAAATCTGCAATTTATTCCTTACTCGTTTCTTGAAAAATTGGCATGTCATTATTTAACAATTGCCCTTTGATAAGAAACACCCAAACTTTCCATGAATGAAATAGTCAATGTGCTTTAATGTATACAACTTATTCTCAACCAACATGTACACCACATATCTTGAATTTAAATCACACTGACATAAGTTAGTAGGTGTGTTTAGTGTATACCGAAAAGTAAAAGGTTCAGAACACATTAGTAGGGATGGATAGGGGCTGTATGCACTTCTCAGGCAATTTATAATATTAATCAAGGTACTGAAAACACTTAGAAGCAGTTTAATTGAAATATAATGGTGTGTATTTATATTAAATGTACATGAAATAAGACAAGAAGCAATGAACTGAAATTTACAATATTTTTATTAAATGGCATAATAGCCAAAAGAACACAATAGCAATAAATAAATTAAGGAATAACTGTCTTGTTTTTCTTTTGCATGATAAAATCGATTGGTTGTGTTAAAATATTTAAATAAACTATTATTCAGTACAGTGTACTTTTTTACCGTTTTAAAAATTAAATTAGTACCCTTTTTTTTCTTTTACAAAATCAAATGGGCTTAGCAAAACCCTCTAGTTTTGAAAGATTCTTCAGTTTGTGTATTTTTTATTCAGTTTGAAATATCATTAATAATAAATGTATGTTTATATTACAATCATTGTAATTTTATCTCGGACAAAAATTGGAAATGTAAAAATAAATTAATAAATCCTTTTGAATTAACAATTATATGAAAAAGTACTAAAGAGAGTGCAAAATTGGTTTCGCACATGTACATGTATCTACCTGTTATGCTTTATGATAAGATATATAAAATTTTTGAATTTCCATTAAATTTGTTGTGGTAACTCCATTACTGCAACTTCATAATTATGACAACTGAATATTTCATTCATGACAATGTACAGAGACTTCTTTCTGCAAACTGAGATCACTAAAAAAATGTCTTTCTGTATCCCTTTAGTAGCAATTACATCGGGATCTCTTTCAATAGTTATCATAATTCAATTATGCCAGTTATCTACTTGGCTATCAACACTGATTGTTATAACAATTTCAGCAATAGTCAATCATAAACAATGTCACAATCTATTTTTAGCCAATTATCGTTTTCTTTTGTGGCGCCATCTGTAGACAGGAGCTGAGGTTTTTGTCTCCCCTTGTAATTTTGTACGCTTTTCTTTCTTATCCTAAAAAAACAAACAAACAAATATAAACTTTTATACAATTGCTATGGGTTTTACAATGAATGTATTCTTGTTAGTTCATTAAAAGTTTAGTGGACTAAAAGACATTTACTCAATTCACACAGAGAAATATAAACCATTTCATTTAATATATGTCTCTGATTCATACCATTTCAACTTTTCAGATTTTAAGATTTTTCTAATCAATTCATTGTAAAATTTTGACCCCCAGGCCTCTATTGTAGCTCCACCCTAACCAATGCATGGTACTATGTCTTAAACATTCAGCTTCTACATTATGCCAGCTAGCTTTCATATGTCTAAGCTTTTCTAGTGGTGCATGAGAAGATGGATGTATTTCATCCTAAAAGTTTTATCCCCCTACTACGGGCCCATATGATACACCAGGGTATTATCTGAGCTATTTACATGTACTATCTACACAATCTCAGAAAGTTTCAATTTAAGTTTTATCTTTTCTGGTCCAGCTGTTCCTGAGAAAGAAGGTTTTTAAATAACCCCAGCTTTTTTTTTTTTTGACTTTTCTTCAATACCTCCCATTGGAAGGGGGCTTTGCTATTCATTTGAGGAATTTAGGATCTCATTTACCCAAGGATAATTTGTGCCAACTTGATAAGGCCAAGTGGTTCTTGAGAAGAAGACAAAAAAAGAAAAAAGTTCTTAAACAGGTTAAAATAAAAGCCAGCTTAATTAAGGGCATCTCCCCAAGTCAAGAGTTTCTGATCAGCTCCGCGTTTATGTGGAGCAGAGTGGATCAGAAACTCTTGACTTGGGAAGATGGCTTAAGGGAAGAGAAGACAACAGACATTTAATGAATCTGTGTTTCAGGACAACCGAATATCAAAAAATACACTTCATAATTTATGGAAAACTCTGGACTTGCAATTTTTTCAGTGGACTGGTTGAATTTATATCCCATCAATATGGCTTGTGAAACAAAAAGTAAGTTTTAAAGCACTGTTGCAAGAATTTGTTTGAAAATAATTCTTTATAAATAAAAGTAAGCTAATGTTTGCAGTAAAAGACGTGGTACATTTAATTACAATGATATAAATTAATTATTAAATTGCAAGTAAGGAAATTAATTAAAAAATATTTTGTAGGTTCACCATTAAATGTTTCTTCATTTCCATCTTCTGTTGTATTACATGGAGTTCCTTTTCCCTCTCTATTCGTTTGACCAGCTCTTGATATCTCTGTTGTTTTTGCTTTGATACTGCCTAAAACAGCAACAAGTAAAAAACAAACAATATCAATACAGCACGTAAATAAATAGGACTTGTAAACAAACAATACAAGTAAATAAACTTACACATCTCATATCCATTCACTTTATGACTATTGATATTAAATTTCTTTAGATGTACCTAGATATATATGAACTTAATATTAAAGCTCCAACTGAATTTTCAGTAATCATAATTTTCCTTTATACCTTTTTTTGTTCTTCTGACTTGTTATTTGATTATATAATTTTTTTTATAAATTTTATAAATAAGTCTGATACAGTGTGACCCCCATCCTCTTCATCCAGCTATTCCCTGACCTTAAGATTCTCCCCATTTAAGCATTCCCCCAGCCCTCCTCCCCCTTCCCCCACACCTCATCATCCAGCCAGTCACTGACCTTTACATCCTCCTCATTTAAGTTCCCCCGGCTCTCTCCCCACCCCCTTCCCCACCCCTTATCCTCCAGCCATGCAGTCACTGACTTTCAAATCCTCCTCATTTAAGTTCCTCCGCCCTCCTCCCCTTCCCCCACCCCTTATCATCCAGCCAGATACTGACCTTTACATCCTCCTCATTTAAGTTCCCCCAGCCCCTGGCCCCCTTCCCCCATTGTTTTTATCCTCCAGCCATTCACTAAACCTTCAAATCCTCCTCATTTAATTTCCCCCTCCCCTCCTCTCCCTCTCATCCAGCCAGTCACTAACCTTTAGATCCTCCTCATTTAAGTTCCCCCGTATTTCCATGTTCTTTAGACTGTCCAGTGTTGGTCGGTTATGCCTCCTGTTGACCAGAGAAGGGTGAGTACCAAAGTAATTGGCTGCATCAAATTCTTTGACTGGACAAATGGAAATAAAAAGTGAAGAAGTCATTTCAAATGCTTTTAAGTTTCAGAAAAAAATAAAGTGTTTTACATTTACATACCAAAATGTACATTCCTAATTTTATCTTGAAATTGCTTATTCATCTGAACATGGATATTTATTTATAAGTACATTTACATTAGTCTTTTTATTTTTTCAAGGGTAAATGTGTTATTGATTATATAGTTGATCTTGTCAAGTTAATTCAGAAACTGTAAATGGGGCATAATGCATTTATAACTTGATGTTATTACTTTACAAGATATGATATCTTGCTGATTCATTATCCTGCAATTTAAATTTGAACAACTTTTAGTTATTAGTAAGTTCCCGGAAGAATGTTAACCCTATAATTAATTTTCAATCAGATATGTTAAATATTATATCAGTAATACCTTCTTTGTCTGTATCCACAAAAACCGTGTGTTTATTTTTAGGTGCTGTGTCATTGTCCATCAGATGAAGATTGGACTTCAAGCGTTCAATTTTCTGGCAACAGGAAATATCATAAAATATAAAATTTTCTTGCATGGTCCCAATTTATAGCAAATGCAAATGCTAATCTAATAATCTGCAAAATGTTGAAATGTACAGTAACTTTACTATAAGTATTTAAAACAGCACACTTGTGTAACAGAGACTATTCTTGTACATAGTGAGGCCACATTCCTACAGGTATTAACACAAGCTACTGGGTTAACCCTTTAATTCAGTTGGTAGAGAGTTGGATTTTAAATCTGAGGGTTGTAGATTCGAGCCACATTGTGGACATTCCCCCTCCCGCTAATCGGTCATACTCGTAACAAGCCTTGAAGACCAGTTTTGAGAGGTTACTTTAAATCTATGTACATGTACAGCTGTAGCATTAAGACAGATTTACATTCAGTTCTGATGTCCTCTTCATGGTAACATATCTCTGATCCTGTGAGAACATTAACTTCAGTTCAGCCTCTGTGTGGACTGGTTCTGTCTCCCCTTTCTCCTGGTGTACACCATCCTTGTATAAAAGATAACGAAATGATTATTTTACACTTACTGGTTAACAGATAAATATTTACATCCACTGAATATTTTCTCCTTTATTTCTTAAGAAAACCCATTGCGTTAATCACTGCATGAACTACATTAGGCATGTCGCCTGTACAGATTTCTTGATCAGTGGCTGTTCCATCAATGAAACGTATAAAGACATTCGCATCATTAATACAATAATTAATCTTTTTAACCCTACGTTAAATGGACAAGAGATATAAATATAAACAAATAAAATGCTTTCTTTGTTTGTTATTACTGGAATTAACGGTCGCAGCTATTGCAGAAAAAAATTACATAACCCGCTTACGCGGGTTATGTGCGGGTTATGTTTTTTTTCTGCAACAGCTGCTTCCATTAATTCCAGTAATAACAAACAAAGAAAGCATTTTATTGTTTAAAAAAAGGAGTATGTAAAGCAATCATGAATGGAATTTGTTAACAATCACTACACATGTTGGTGCTTTTGAAAAAATTCTACAAGATATTCAGGGATGTAGAATTTAGGAATGTTCAGAAATGTTTAGTTTAATTGCTGATAAGGTATACAATAAACATAATTAATTCAAAATATATGTATGACATTAATTATATTCAGAAGCAACAAGATCATATGTTCCTATATTGCAGTGATTGGGATAAGCATGCGCCCTGCACCATAGTCGCATAAAATTTTAAAATGTCACATTAATATTAAAAACCCTGAGCCATTGTGGTGCATATGTAATCATGCACTACATATTTTTTAACTTTGAGCTTTCCCCTACACACTTGTAATCTTTTCCACAACAATCGCTGTCATTTTACGCTTGAAAAAATAGTATTTAATGTCGTTCAGTCGAAGCGTTATTATGACTTTGTTTTCTCCAGTATAGTTACGTGTTTTCTGATTGGCTAATATGGTTAGGTCAACTGGTGTCAGGAATGCAGCATGCCGCGTAAGAAAATACCTTGTCCCAATAAAAGACAGACTTTGCTTCATTTAAAACAATCTAACAAACAGAATCCTAATAAATCGGTGGAAAATGACTCGAAAGAAGTAAAAAATGCTGACAGAACCGATGTAGATGGACCTGACGGTAGGACTGATAATGTAGTCTCAATGGAAAAACCAAAACGAAAATTTAACATGAATTGGAGGGAAGCAGTATAGATCTAAACCAGGCTTTAAATCATTTTATGGATGTCAAACATAAAGAATTGAAATGGTACTAGTAAATTGTAAGTTTGTAACCATTATAACAAGGAAATGTCCCATTAAAAAATCGGTTTGGCGCATTGAAAATGAAAATTTTTAATGTCACATTGACACTGACTAGGAGTGTGCCATTGTCACATTTACTCCCTAGCTTATCCCAATCACTGATATTGACCCTTTTATTTACAATATCTTTATTTATATCATTTGATTATTCATGTTTGCTTTAGCTGCTCCTGATTTGTATTGCTTAATGGACTTTCAGGCTTAAATATTGTTTGTTAGGCCATCCTTAAAAAATTGTTTTTTTGCGGTAACGCGACCGACTCACCAAAATTCACCCGACTGGATTTTTTTTATCAGTTCAAAAAAATCTTTTTTTTTTTTTTGACGTATCCATTTTCCATTTTTATCCGATTGATATTTCTCTACGTCTCCATTGCACCTACGCCGTTTTTATCCGATTGATATTTTTTTACGCCTCGGTTACACAGACGCTTTATCTTTCCCCCATGTACTATTAAAACGTCTTCGTGATCTACAAATTTAGAGATGGCGTCCGAGAAGGTTGCGGTAAATATTGACTCTATAGTTCTGTCAGTTACAGTAAATTTTAAAGGAAAATCATCTTAATTCCTAGGCAAAAAAAATATTTTGTGTCAGTTCCACCTTACAGATACATGGTACGATGTGTATGAGATCGCCACAGAACCGGTGGCGGATGAAATTCCACGTGGGATAGACGTGAGCAAATAAAAGATTGAATTCATTTAGAATGCTTTAATTTTCTTGTTTGATTACTAAGGTGAAATCTAAGACATAGTTAATACCTCTAAATAATCGAAATTTATTTCTGACATTTTGTCTCCAAAAAAAAAAATAAAGCCTACCTACCTACTCACACCTAAAATGATGAGGCGCGTTACCGCAAAAAATAAATTTTTTAAGGATGGCCTTATCTCCATATGTTTCATGCCTATAGTATTAACTTACCACTTTTTGTGTTTTGACCATGTTAAAATAAAATTCATCTGGATTACGATTTAATGCCTTTCTTTTCAGAACTTTTAGAGTATTCTGTTTTCTTTGAAAGTCCCTGAAAACAAAACAAACAAAAATAATCACTTAATCAGCATGATTGTCAATTAGAGCAAACACTTTTACAACATTCAAAGAATACAATAAAACCACCCTTATTCAATAATTTTGGAAACCCATCAATCAATAAGATGAAAACAGGTGAAAATATTTACATTTTCAATGTTATAATTTGTCCAAGATAAAATTGAAAATAGAAAAAAAATTATTTCTGCATGTACATAAATCTACTGATTCATCAATATACGCACAGCTAAATAAATTATGTGCAGAGCAGGACAAATTTAGACAGAAGTGGGGCTTGTAGCACGTGAATTTGCAGAATCAAGAACATGTGAATATAACGAATAATTGTAAGATTTTTTTGTTTCTTGAAGATGATCAATCAGTTGACTTGTGTGAGAATTTTTTGCATACACCCCTTTGGTGTTTATGCAAATTCCCACATGCCACCCTATTGATCATCAAATATTGAAACCCCAAAAATAGACAGTTATTCCTTAAACAGCTGTTAAATGACAAATTTATACTTGATGATAAATATACATTACAAATGGAGAAAGAATTTACTCTGCTCTTTCTTTGTAATCTTTTTTCTTCTCCAGAAATCCAAGATGGGCTCTGCTGGAAGGCTGCATTAAAAAAATGAATAATTTTAAAAATGTCTGATTAACCAACCAAATTATTTTCTTTATTTCATTTTACAGCGCAAAACATGATAATTTGATTTTAAAAAATTAAAATACTCTATCACTTAAATGCGATGAGTTATATTTCAAACTTTAATTCTCTTACCTGACTCCTCTCCTTGTATGATCGGGCACCTGATTTACCTGCTTTTCGTAACGATGCCATGATCGGAATTTCTTTTGTCCAAACAGTCTCTGTGTTGACTTCACGTGTATTTCACGAGGAAATTCGAACTGGAGACAGGAAGTCAATAGTGATCTTCAATCGTACGTAGAATAATTCGCGTTTTCGATATGGTGGTGGCAAAAACAGCATTTCAGTGTACATATGTAATGTATTAACTATACTATGGTAGGCACAGTAATTTCTCAATGGGTAAAAATTTAGGTCTACATCAAGGTGTAGCGTTTTTAATGATTATATACCTCAGAAGAAGTAATAAGAAAAAAAGTTACTAAAACGTTAATTTTAATATTGCATATGAACACTAGTACATGTAACTTCAAACAAATAAAAATATTTAAATTTCCTCTTTAACAAACCAAACTTATTTTCCTTTATCAAATTTTGAAGAAAGTTGCGCGTCTCAAAGAAAAACATGCAAAATGGTCCAGTACTTCTGCTTCTGTCATGTGATGCCCACAATCAACTATAGCTGATTATTATGGGTGTGGTGCGCATGGAGTTACCAAAAATAAAAATTTAAAAAGTCAAAAGGTTAAAACAGTAGTTATAATTCATGGCATATAGGTGGTCACCTGAGACCTAAAGGTCTCTGAAAGTGTTTTGTGCCGTGACTATCTCTAGTGGTACACCGTAGGTGGTTCCACTCTTTGATGGTACGAGGGAAATGAATTTTCTATGGTCACTTTTACAAGATGGTAATTGATAGGCTTCTTGGTGAGTATGTCGTGTGATAGACGTAGTGGTGGAATAAGTCGATCACGCTAAGGTAACAGCAACTTCATCATGAACAATTTTATAAAATACACTGTAGGATGAATCTGGAGATTCGCCTAGTAGACGTTCTTCTAGTGTCTGCCATTGTAGATGTTGAATCATGCTGTCCTCACTTGATCTGTGACCATGTCTGTTGCGTAACGTGCAGTACGTCGTTGGACCATTTCCAGGTTATGTTTGGATGTTTGGATGGAGGGGTACCAGACAGTTGCTGCAGTACTCCAACTAGGGTCTACATGTAACTTGTGACTTGTATGCACTCTCCTTTATGGATGTTGAGCTGATGTTTAAGTTTCGGCGGAGAAGATTCCCCTTTAAATTTTGCAAGCCAAATCTATTATGCATGGATGGAAATCAGACAATTTTTTGTAGTGTTAATCATACCGGAACAAGTTGTATGACCAGTTACTAAAAAGCTCTTATGCAACTAAATTTCAAGTAATATTTTACATTTTTTAGTCATAGTTGGAGAAGAAATAAATATAACTCTCATCATTATAAATATTTCATTTTGAAATAAAAGAACATCGGTTAGTGCTTCCTAAATGAAGACATCCATGTTGTTTTAGTGCAAAAGTGTAATAAAAGTGGCATTGTTCCATATTTTTGAAAAAATGTCAATTTTCTGCAGCATTGAAATTACACTTACAACCAAAATGGAGATAATTTTACATCTTGAAACAACTTAGAGAACTTAAAAATATATGATATTATAAAATGAAAAGGTATACAGCATACAAACAAGATGTGTTTGTGAAACACTGATGCCCCCGTATGGCAACATAGCGAAGGTTAAGCTTCTCAAATGCAGATCAAATATGTAAATATGTGTTGGTACCAAAAGTAAGGCCTGATTTCACAAGAAATGCGAAATATAAAACGCTAGCTACACCTGTTCCAGGGTTATGACCAACGTTAACATTTTATAAGATAGAACAAACTTCAAGAAAGCTAATGGCAACATAGCAAAGGTTAAGCTTTCTCAAATGCAGATCAAATATGTAAATATGTGTTGGCACCAAAAGTAAGGCCTTTTCACAAGAAATGCGAAATATAAAACTCGAGCTACACCTTTTCCAGGGTTATGACCAACGTTAACATTTTATAAGATAGAACAAACTCCGGGTCAAGGTCAAAGGGTCAAGGTTGTTGGTTTCTAAAGAAAGGCCTTGTCTCAAAGATTACGTTTTGGAAGAATGAAAGCGCTGGCCCTTACCGTTCAAAAGTTATGGCCAAGGTTAAAGTTTGTAAAAAGTAGGTCAAACTCTAAGGTCAAGGTCAAAGAGTCAAGATTCTTGATATCCAAAGAAAGGTCTTGTCAAAAGGATTACACATGTGAAACACGAACGCTCTAGCCCTACTGTTCAAAAGTTATGGTCAAGGTTAAATTTTGTAAAAAGTAGATCAAACTCCAAGGTCAAGGTCAAATGGTCAAGATTTTTGATATCAAATGAAAGGTCTTGTCACAAGGATTAAATTTGTGAAGTATGAATTCCCTAGTTTTAACCCTTCAAAAATCATGGTCAAGGTTGTATTTTTAAAGTAGGTCAAACTCCAAGGTCAAAGGGTCAAGTTTCTTGGTATCCAAGAAGGTCTTTTCACAAGGATTACATATTTGAAGTATGAAAGCCCTAGTACTTATTGTTCAAAAGTTATAGCCAAGGTTAAAGTTTTTTCATGGGTACGGAAATCTCCAAGGTCAAGGTCAAAAGGTTGAAATTGTTGGTATCCAATGACAGGTTTTTCCACAAAAATACATACGTCAAGTATAAATGTCCTGGTATCTATTGTTCAAAAGATATGGCCAAAGTAAAAGTTCAAAATTTTTGTGTTAAAGAAGGTCAAACTCCAAGGTCAAGGTCAAAAGGTCTAATTTGGCGGTACTCAAAGAAAGGTCTTGTCACAAGGAATACACATGTGAAATATGAATGTCATAGATCCATAAAATCAAAAGTTGTAGGCAAGGTTAAAGTTTTTGCGGACAAACAGACAAACGTGTCATAGCTCCACTAAATCAAAAGTTATAGGCAAGGTTAAAGTTTTTGTGGACAAACAGACAGACAGACAGACAGACGGATGGACACGACAAAAACTATATATCCCGAAACTTCGTTTACGGGGGCATACTAATGCATAAAAAGCATGTTTTTTCATTACCCATTACAAATTAAACAGAGTATGGTTTAGATATAATAATATATTCATTCGCTGTGTTTTTCTACTAAGCCAACTGTGAAATTGATTTGAAAATCATTTTCATGTATACTCACGCATAGAAATATACAAGGAGAAACGTGCATTAACGTGATGTCACAATAAGGCTACAGCGACGTTAGTAAAAGTATAACAATATAGGGCAGCGAAAAATTAAAATATTGAGTATATTTTCGGTGCTTCCAAATATGTAAAAAGTAAATATAAGGAATGTTTTTAAGTTTAGTGTGAATTATTGGTGTGAGAATCACACAGACTTGCACGTAGGCATATTTTTCATGAAGCGCTAACGCGCTTCATGAAATATGCCTACATGACAAGTCTGTGTGATTCACACACCAATAACTCACACAAAACTTAAAAAACATTCCTTAAATGAAAATGCTCTGCTTTGGATGCAAATTCAACATTTCAAGGTTTGGCGAGTCTTTAGTTTCAAATTTCTGAATTTTGTAGAGGTATGGGAACCAGTTTGTCTGTTTAAGAGGAAATTACTTTTATCATAGCATCGATATATAGAACTTTACAAAGGCATTTAGATGAAAACCGAAAGGAACTCTCTCCCATTTTCAAAATTGTTTTAACTGTTAAACAAAACTGTTGACATTTTAGAAAATATATACAGTGTACAAAGCAATATTCAAAAAATCTCAAATACAGTATCAATGGAAATTGTTTCATATAACGATTTACTTTCCAATGGAATTCAAAAACTTAGTATGCAAAGACGCACATTATACCATTACATTTAACACAATACAAAAATATACAACACACACATCTTACTCAATACATGTATGTGGTATCAGTACATCAGTTTATATCAAATGTATCAGTGTGGATCTTTTATCTATAAGTAAAGTCCATTATCAAATGATACATAATCTAAGTATGAATTGAATAAACAAGATGACTAGACTGAATTTAAATTTTGAAAGAACTCTCAAAATAAAAATCAAATGAACTTTACAGCCAAATAAAACAGGAAATCAACGATTCACGACTACATGTAACTAATCAAACCCTAACATAAATTCTATTTATTGTGAGGCCAAACAAAAAAAAAGTTTCATATTTGCCTTCTCCCGACCAACTTTCTTAAAAATATGGTTTGACTTATTTTTTTATTCCAGGACGCAATTATTATATAATTTTCTTCCCCCCCCCATAAATCTGATTTTCTGAAAAGAAGATTTTTATCCCCAGTTGAAAGAAGGCAAAATAACATTAAAGATGGCCTGATATACAGTGTCAAATTATAAAACAGAATGTGATTAAAAAATATGCAAATCTCTTACTTTAATTAAGTAATGTCTAATGTGTTCTTAATTTTATAATCTGTTTGAAAGAAATAACTCACACACTACTACATAAATACTATATCATACAATAAAACCTTTTTCTCAGTTGCAATGAGTAATTTATCGTTCAAAACAGAGATGCTTCTAGGCCTGTCCTCTACAAGCAACTTTTCCTTATAATTTCCCTTGGTGTCGAAAACGACAATAGAAGCGTTTTCATAATCAGCGATAAATATATTGTAGTATTTATCAAAAGATATTGATCCTGGATGGCAATTCAAAGTTTCGATCAATTCACCCTTCATACTTAACAAATAAACACATCGGTTATTGGAGTCCGAAACCGCATACATTCCATTTGGCAGACAACAAGCATAACGTAAAAAACATGTATTTGGAGAAATTTCTGTCAAAGGTAATTTAGTCAAAATATCATTCTTTTGGTAATAAATTACTGATTTTGCTGTCCAAATCAATTGATTCAAACTTGGAAGGGATGCAAACAAAGCTGATATACCAGATAATGTTTTTTGCACATCAAAATTTCGGTTAAAAGATGTCATTTGACTGTCGATTGATAAACAAGATATTCCATCTTTCCAAACGGAAACAGCTAGTGGATGGTATCCTGACACAGATTTCAATATTTCAGCAGATGAAATGGAAACCATTTTGATCTTTGCATTAGCTTTATCCACAGCAACAAGGTGGTTTTCATCAACCCATGCAATTCCACTATAAATTGGTGTGAACATATCATTACTTTCTCTTAATTCAAATCTTCTGATCATGTTTAATTTGTATTTTCTTTGCCTGAATTCCATATTTTCCTTAGTGATTTGAAAGTCTTCTTCTGATGTCTGTACTGCTTTCGAACAATAAGTTACAAAATCAGACAGATTTGTATTTTCATCGGTATCCTTTTGATTGGATGTTTCACGGGTGGCACTTTTTTCAGAGGTTGATGGTGATTGAGCTTTGTTTACCAGCAATTCAATTTGTGGTTCTGTTATTTGAAGCGTTAAATGTGGCATATTTTTCAGCAGGTAATCATCTGAGGTTTCAACCTTTGAAAGTTTTTTAAATCTTTCGTTGATGTCATCCAGCAAATGTATTACTTCGCAGTCTTTTCCCTTTTGCATCATTTCAAAATAAATTAAAGATTCTTCAATATTTTTACACCCACGAGATATTTTTTCATATCCACATCTAAGAGAAAGCCGACTTGGTACCATAACCTGATTGAGCTTCATTAGGACTCTGTTTTTCCCTTTATCTATTTTGCTCACAGCTTCTGAACATTTTTTGCTGATGTTAGAGTGCATTTGGGCTTCCATTGATTCAATTTTACCTTGATCTGATTTTATCAACTCTCTCTTTCTTTTCAAGTCTGACAATCTTACTGTCAATTCGTTCTGTAAAGGTTTTATCATATTTTCGCTTTCTTTTCTTACTACCGATAAAAGTTTAATTTTATGACCCGAGTGGTCCAATACTGAGCAATCACGGCATGTCACCGTTTTGCATGGGACACAAAAGTATCTAAGCTCCTCCTCTATATGCAGAGGACATTTTTCTGAACACTGTAGGGATCTTATTGCATCATTATGCTGTCCTGTCCGTATCTCAATCAAAGACACTACTTTATGGTCCCTAGTTACGGTGGTAAAGGTGTGCCTCGATGTTGAACACTCTTCACAAAGAAATTCAGAACACGTGAGACATTGAGAGACAGCTAACCTGATTTCCCCTGAAAACTTGCAAAAATTACAGACCTGATCTCTGCAATCCGTTTGTGTTTGGAGCAGATGAATCATGTTTTCCAGGTAGGTATTGGATTTCACATCATCTGGATTTTTTTCAAAAGTTTCAAAGCAAACTGCACATTTTGAGGGTTTATCAATACAATTTTGTCCAATGTATTTTAATATACATGTCTTGCAAAATGTATGTAGGCAAGGCAGTGTCTTTGGGTCTTTGTAAAACTTTGAACAAAGAGAACATTTAAGGTGTTCAGCGTTCGGGAACTTTTTTGACGAATCCATTTTGATGTATAATCTGAAAAAGGAATTTCCTTAGGTTAAGCTTCTAACCTGCAGAGTAACAAGGGATGTCAAATGCTAAAATATAAATTTATATTATGAAAAATTATACAGAAAAATTTATGCTAACTTGATGTTCATTAATTTATAACAACATTGCTCCTAGCATGATTTTTCAACATTTTAACCTAAATTTATACGTAGAATAACCTATATAGGTAGAATAACCAGTCATTATTTTCATCAAATCATATGCATAGAAACATATCTTATAAATTTACTCGCTACATTGATCAATTCTTGTGTTTGTATGTGCAAGAGGGGGTGTACGTCTGTGTCTTATAAGCCATTTAACTGGTTACGAATCGGTTTGTGGTTACATTGTCCACTCAACCTACATGGTCAATGTTCTAAATGTTCTTTGTTAATTGTTGTTATACCATCGTTTGAAAAGTGATAGGGTATAATATAAGACCGCGGAACATTAACTGGCAAGATTGGAAATATGCAGTGACGTCATTTCTATCTGTTAAAATCGACACATTCATTGATAGCCAACGAAATGGGCGGATACAATGCGACGCGGACGTCCAAGAAAACATTGGATTGAAATTCTAGTTTGAAATTCATTTTCAATCCACCTGAACTGTTTTCAAAAGCAAAGTGTGAATGTATTATCCAAAAGACAAATAATTTAATTCCCAAATACATGTTGGTTGAAACTTATATTGATATGAATTTTATAACCTATAATATAATCTTAAGAATACTGGTAAAAGTCATAGAAGACATATTTTTTTCAGGAGACGGCCATTTGAATTAAAAGGGGGGGGGGGGATCAAAAATTGTCGAGTCAGATCATGCTTTGCACCAATAAATTTTTAGGATGACAAGATCTTTTTTAGTTTTGTCTTCAATGAAAAATGTTGGACAATTTCCTTACCAGGTATTTATTTCCAAGATCGTTAATATTATATTCATATGGGAGACACATACATAAATTATTGCTAACAGTTCCAAATATTTGTCTTCATATCATTCTTTAATAATGCTTGTAGAAAATTCTGATTTATATAATTATTAATTTCAAACTGAAAATTGGGTATATAGTAATGTTATGTCCGTCCGTCCGCATCGTTGTCCTTCCGTCCAATTTCATTGTCTTTCATTAAATGTTCTGATTGTAACAGATAGAAATGACAGAAATTGCATATTTCCAAAAAAATCTTTAAATAAATAAATGAACTCGCCAAAACGTCAAAAACCTATTCGCTGGGGGGGGGGGGGGGGGGGGGTGGTACATCTATTACCTCAAATCTTCATACTACTGAATCAATATTAATGAGACTGTTATAGAATCCTTGATACATAGTGCCATTGTGACCTCCTATTTTACTATTTGTATCCAAACATATTTTGAGTTTCCCACAGCAAAACATTGACACTTCCATTCTTTCTATAATAAATTGAAGGGTATATCCATCTCTTATCCACAACTCTGAATAAAATTTAATGATACTTCACATGTTTTTATTACATACTGTCATTGTGCATCTCATATACTACTTTTTGATCTGACACTTATTTCGGGTCTCTCAGAGCAAAACATGGACGGTGCCATTTAAATCACATTAGAGGCTGGGGAATTATCTAGTTAGCTCACAGTACCTCTACTAGTTTAATTTGTGTTATTTATACTTTTCAAATTTCCAAAATGTAAATCTAGGTACAGACACAAATTAAAAAGTCATTTACAAAAATAGCTCCTCCCCCATAGTTTTGAATTTTTTTTAATAGAAAATCAAGCGCCCTCTTCCAGCCGTTGCTGACCAAGAATTGAAATTATTGTTGAGATATACCTCCTTGAAATTCGAATTTTGAAAATTCATGAAAACAAGACGTGCATGCGCATGGTTAATTTAGATGCTATAATTTCATTGAAAAGTCAAGTATTGTTTAGTTTAATATTTTAATTTGTTACAGTTAACCTAAATACTGATAACATACTCAATCTAGATCCACAATAATTCAAAAAAAAATTATTGAAACGTGCATGTATTTGTTAAGGAAGCTATGTTGCAACCATATACTACTTTTTGAAATAATGACCACTATTGAAATAATTATGTCAATAGTGGTTGAGATTGCATCTCAATAGCAAACATAGCTAGTAACCACTATTGAAATACAACCACTATTGAAATAATTATTTCAATAGTTTTGAAGTGCATTTCAATGTAGAAACATAGGTAATGACACAAACTGTTGAAATACAACCACTATTGAAATTTTTATCAATATAAAATGAGAGTGCATTTCAATAACAAACATAGATACTGTATTAACCACTATTGAAATACGACCACTATTGAAATAATTATTTCAATGGTGGGTGAGAGTACATTTCAATATAATAACTATAGGTTTCAACCACTACTGAAATACGAGCACTTTTGAAATAATTATTTAATAGTGGGGAAGGGTGCATTTCAGTATGATTACCATAGCTTTCAACTACTATTGAAATAAGATAGAAAAAAGGTTATTTACAGTTAATTACATAATTTGTGATAGATTAAAATATTCATTGCAATATATTAGACCAAGAATTGAACAATTTATTTTTCCTTTTTAAGTAAATAACATGATTTCTGCTCATGTATATTCTATTCTCTTTAAACATTTTCCCTGCGAAAACAATTAAGTCAGGTACCATATGTTGAAAATTAATAAATAGTTCCAATATGCACACCTTTATATGATACATTTTACTCGAAGTCCAAAAAACACTTTATTTGTGTTTAGAGCTTCCTTAACACATTATGTTTGCTTTGTCTTGCACTTGCGCGTGTTCAAATTAAATCTGGGTCATTTTTAAAGTAGCAAATAGAAAAATAATCATGTGATAATCATTAAGTCTGATGTTACAAAGAGCTACAGATAGAAGACTCGTCTATTTTGTTTTTACCAAGTGAGGCATTTTTAAACCCGTCACTATGTATTTAGAGAATATTTAAATAAAAATAGATAATAAATCGATACTGGCAAAAATTCCACTGTATGGAGGTAACGACAGTTCTAATGTCCAGTACAGAATGTCCAACTGTTCTAAATTTCTGTTATCCTTGTTAAGATAATAATAAAAAAATGTTCAGTAAGACACAAAAATGCTTGTCAATACTACCTTCAATCGGTCACCATGCACTTTAAAAAATATGGCCGTTCTGTGCAATTATATATAAGTATGGTGAAATGTTTCTGCCATACTGTTCGGGCAAAAATTAAATTAATTTCTAAACACTTACAAAAAGTAATGTTTTGGACTTTGAGAAAAATATATCATATAAAGGTGTTCATATTGAGACTTTTTCATTCGTTTTCAACATCGGGAACCTGACTTAATTTTGCAGAAAAAAAAATGTTCAAAGACAATAGACTATGTATATATAAACAGAAACACTGCTGTTTACTTACATTGGAAAAATTAATGGAAATAATGAATTCAATTGCTTATTCTTGGTCTAATATAATGTTAAGCATGATTAAATGTATTACACATTTTCACTATATCAATTCTAAGTACTCACCCTTGTACTTTAAAACTACCTCACAATTAGAACTCATTAATTAGTGCGAAGTATGTAGAGTTTCCTTAAAGGTGCCACATTAGGTATGTGTTTTCTTCTGTAAAACTCTAGATAGAGCGTGTTACACTTGGGTAACTGCCACGCCTCGGAAAAAGTTAAAAACCCAATCAGGGCACTTTGTACAGAAAACAGAAAACAGAAAAACTTTATACAAAAACTGGCATGCTTATAAGGTAATATTAGCCAGCTGGCAACTTGTGTATGTGTCCAGCTGTGACTTGAAGGACTCTTACGCTGGTGTTGAGGCACCTTAGGATGGTAGGCGATTCCAGTCTAGATTTGTCCTCGCAAAGAATGAATAGCTATATACAACTATCCGAGTGTGAGATAGACAGAACGTGTGATGGCCTTTGGTCGTGCTGTCACTAGAGTTTAGGTGTAGATCTGCAGGATTAACTTCTAATGCATGCTTGATCTTGTAAGGGAAACAAGTCCGATTTTAATTCTTTTAATCTGAAGTTCCAGGGATCCCGTGGTGCACAAGCACACGTATTCTAGATAAGTCTACTCATTTACCAAGTCTTACTGAAATCACACCAAAACTTCTCAAATAGTGACAGTTTAAAAACTGTTTTAAGAAAGATGGACAGACAGAAAGATGAACGAATGCCCTGACACATAGAATCTTTTCGTCTCTGGCCAAAAGACCTTATCTCCGCATGACTAAAAAAGAATTGAAGAACTTCGGCATGCATACTGTAGACTTTTGTATCAGGAAGCATAGACTATACTTGCATTCATTTATGAAGACTAGAAAACAGTATCACGGTTATCTCTTTCCGCAAGTTCAAAAGTCCATACAAACAATACAAATCAGGAGCAGTTGCCATGGAGGAGTGAGCATCTTCTGCCCGACCAGTCACTCCAGGTGTGTGGGTTGGGTAGCTAAACACAGTTTTGAATAAAATCCGTTGGAGGGGGGGGGGAGAAACATGCTTGGTAGGGATTTTCCCGCTATTTTTAGGAAGTCTGCATGAAAACTGCATCTTTTTTTGTTTTTATTAGCATAAAGAAGAGTCTTTTCTTAATATTAAAAGAAGAAGAAATCTGCAGTTATTTCTTATGTGAGACTTTTAATAGGGGGAGATAACTCCCAAAATATCAGGTTTTCATATGTGCAGAATTGCACAGGTCGAGAAGAAGGTATTGAAGCTCTTCCATGGGGGTAGAAAATGTACCCTTAAAGTACATTTAAAGAAAACCTTAGGTCTTGTTCTGTTAAATGTACATAACTTATCTTGTCAGAATTTTGCACTGTTTGTTGAACAAGCCAGGGAGCTAAAAATGCAAAGTGCACCGCAAATGGATGCATAACCCAATATCCCCCATGTTTCATGATTCAAATACCCCTTGTTAGTAATTGATCACTATATCAAAGTTAGATATTTATTAATGTTCAACCAAGCCTCTATCTTTACTCCACACCAAGATATTAACAGTAGTAAAAAAAACATTTCAAGAGAACTGTGTAACAATATATCCAAGAAGTGGTGTAAATCAAATGTGGATACTTAAAAATTCAAAGAAACTTTTGGACAATTTGAAACAAGTTTTTACCAAAATCAACAGCTTAAAAAATTCAAACTTTTCAAATTAATACACAACCATTCCCCACGATAAATCAAGGTACAGGCTTTTTGAGGTCATTGACAGCTGCTTTTTCAATAAAAATGGAACTTGTAAATTTACTTCCCCTGTCATTGGTCATTTGCAAAATTATTTTGTTTAAAACATTCTGATTGTACACACAAGTACTCATCAAAAAGTTGTTTGAGTTTCTAATTGACAATATCTATGTTGTTTTTGGAGACTAGGTCTGCTCCTATTTTGTATTGTTTTAAGGACTTTTGATCTTGACTACTGTTCGTTATCTTCATACCCGTGTATGTTTCATTCAAAATTTTATCTTTCCATTGATATATAGAAGTCTGTGTAACAAGCCTGCGTTTTATTTTCTTAAAGGGGTCAGTTTTGCTTGTCCCTCACCAAGTAATGTTCTGATATCGTCATATGTTTTGCACCCTTGCCATGATCGCGAATAAACGGAAAATTCCGTAGACATGATGACCTAACAATTAGTATAAAACGCTAGGGTGCATTTGTATGGTGGCATATTTCTGCCCCTTGTGTGCAAGTTATTTTTCTATCAAATATGTCGACATGCAAGATAAATATGTTGACATGCAAGATGGTTATGTCAACATGCAACATAAATATGTTGACATGCAAGAAAATTTCAATCAAATAAATATTATAAAAAAATTTCAAAAATCTCAAATATCGCCCACATGTGACATCCAACATGCTAGATGCTACTTATTTATGTTAACATGCAAGATAAATATGTTGACATGCAACTTAGATATGTTAACATGCAACTTATTTATGTTGACATGCAACTTATTTATGTTGACATGCAACTTAGTTATGTTGACATGCAAGATAAATATGTTGACATGCAACTTAGTTATGTTGACATGCAAGATAAATATGTTGACATGCAACTTAATTATGTTGACATGCAACTTAGTTATGTTGATTTGCAACTTAGTTATGTTGACGAAAATAAATATGTTGACATGCAACTTATTTATGTTGACATGCAACTTATTTATGTTGACAGGCAAGATGAATATGTCGACATGCAACTTATTTATGTAAACATGCAACTTAGTTATGCCGACATGCAACTTATAAGTTGCATGTCAACATATTTATCTCGCATGTCAATATAATCAAGTTGCATGTCGACATAAATAAGTTGCATGTCGACATAAATAAGTTGCATGTCAACATAAATAAGTTGCATGTTAACATATCTAAGGTGCATGTCGACATAAACAAGTTGTATGTCAACATAAATTAGGTGCATGTTAACATATCTAAGTTGCATGTCAACATATTTATCTTGCACGTTATCATAAATTAGTAGCATTTAGCGTGTTGTATGTCACATGTGGGCAATATTTGAGATTTTTGAAGATTTTTTATAATTTTATTTTATTGCAATTTTTTTGCATGTCAACATATTTATGTTGCATGTTGACATAGCTATGTTGCATGTTAACATATCTATCTTGCATGTCGACATATTTGATAGAAAAATAACTTGCACACAAGGGGCATAAATATGCCACCATACATTTGAGTTAATGTTGATTGTATTTTCAGACAACAAATATATTCAGGTAATCATGTTGTACTTATTCATTTTAAAATCATTTATTTATGATACTATGTATTTTTAGTTCCATTCTCCACTAAAATTAAAATTCTGTAACATATTTTTTATTCTGATACTTAAACATGGAAATAAGGTCATAATATAAAAGCACCATGTACACAGACTTAAAAACTTTAAGTCTGCGAGGGCTCCGCTGAGATATATCCATGTATATACATGTATCTAAGGATGGGTGGGTAGGCATAATTAAATATAGTGAGAAAAACACCGAACAACTGTAATTATAAAATTAAGAAAATGCCAAAATAACAATTTGCAGTGATGTTTTTTCTTAACTACTTGTCAAAAAATGAGTATTTCAACAAAAAGCAAGCAAGTATTTCATAACTTGTGTGAAAATTTTTTCACCTTGTCTATTCCTTATCCCAATTCTGAGAGGTTTGTTATCAAAAAATGGCTTATTCCTTGCTATAAAATTTACCAAAGGAGGATGTGACATATCTGCTATCTGGGGCCCCTTTTTCCACGACGAATTATATTTAATCTACAACGATTTTGGTAGTTTTCAAACATGAGTGAATAAATACGACGCCTTTTGAATAATTTCAATAGTTCAGACATATTTTAATTATATGGAATACTGCATTATCTTTGATTTTTTAGACCCTATCACAGCTGTTTATACATGTATCTAAGGATGGGTGGGTAGGCATAGTTAAATATAGTGAGAAAAACACCGAACAACAGTAATTTTATTGTCTTTTTTAAATCAGGACACTTCGAATAAAACAAATTCAAAATTTCATGGAAATATCATTGAAAATAAAGAAGATATAAGCCCAGTTATGCAGACATCTCCCTGCAGTCATTTCATAACGTCGGCGACGTTACCATGCATAAAGTCGTAAAAAGAAAATCAAACATATCTCAACAATTTTACTAGTTTTAGTCTACTGGTATATTAAGAACAATCTCTTCTTTTTCTTTAAAATCTTCTTGAAATTTTGCTTGGATATGATGAAAATAAATTGAATAATTAAATATACTGTTATTCTTTCTTATTACATATGACTTTTACTTGTTACATATGACTGTTGAAACAATTGAATTTGATTCAGAAGACTGCATGACTTATCCTACCAGCATCGATGACCAAAGAGAGAAAGGGAAGAAAAAATGCATAATAAACAAAATAATCCAATCAATCATTTATTTTCAATAAAATAAACTCTAGAAACATGTCGAGAAATGCACAATAATTATTATCAAGATAAATATGCAAATTGAAATTACATTCCAAAATAACAAATTATTTGTAGTTATATGACAATATTTCCATTTCTAATTTTTCTCTCTGTGATAACCCTTTGAAAGTTAGCGTAGTTAATATCTTGATAATTCTACCGGAATGTAAATTAGGCATTTCAATATGTCAGGAGCTAAGGAGGCCCAATAAGCATGCAAATCTCGTGCGCATCTGTCTCTGAGTCTGACGCTAAGGAGACCAAATATACATGAAAATCTCGTGCGGCTGCCTTTGTGTTTGACGTCAGTGGGCGAGGACTATTGAAATTGGGATGGGAATCCTCGTGTAATTTAAATCTATGTCTACATGTTTTAAGTCAAAATCTACAATTTTATTTCACAATGAAGTGGAAATATAAGGAATCACTGTCTACTTAGTATAGTATGCCAGGGACATCAACAATAGTGGGAAACATGGGATAATCCATGCATAACGGGCTTCGCCCGTTATGCAAATTACCCCATGTTTCCCACTATTGTTGATGCCCTGGCATACTATACTAACTAGACAGTGATTCCTTAAAAATACACCAGGTATCACATAAAATACAGAAAGACAGAGGTTCTTTGACAGCTGTCAAAAAAAAAATGAAAAGCTGCTCATTATTTTTAAAACAGACATTCTGGATATTGCAAACATGTACATTATAAATCAAAATGTACTGTCATGATATTACAGATGTATGCATCTGTATAAAGTTTATAAAGTTTATATTAAAATAGTACATTTTTGGGGGGTAGTGTGAAAGTAGTATCCCTTGAAAATCATTTTTGACAAAGCTTTGTAATATTTTTTGTTATACTAAATATATCCAAAATGCATTTAAAGAAAAAATTCACAAAGAAGGTGCAAACATCAGATAACAATTTTCATAATGTTACACATTTTTTAACTGTTGAGATGTAACACTACTCGTAAATATAGGACTCAACTTACGTAAACAGTTGCTGAGTTTGGTAAAAGTACTAATTCCAACAAATGTTTTAAAGCAATGAAATTTGACTAACAGAAAAGTACATCAATGTAACATATTACTAGAGGTAATACCATAGGAACTACATGTATACATTTTACTTCTTATCTTTGTTACACACAATAACTCTCCCTTTCATCTAAGGAGAAGACTTTTCCTTTTCCCCAAGTTTGACGCGGAATGATCAGGTGAATAAACTTTCACCTCTCTTTGGTACAGCTGGTTTTGGACATGATGTTTCTTTAGCAGAGAGTGATAGACAATGTTCACGGATTTCTTCATATAAGTACCATTGCCTCTTGGGCTCAAGACTAGGTGCTAGGATTTCTTGAGGCAGAGGATCATTTACGGAGGGAAGGATATTCTGATCTTTCAGGAGATTGACACTGAAAGGAACAGAATTACAGAGCTCATTACATTCAACAAAACCAGGAGTCTCAGCACTTACTCGGAAATGATGATAGCCTCGAATGTTTTTCAAGAGTTTGAAGAGCTGTTCAAAGTACGACTTCCAGTCCCTAAATTGCACAGGTGTTTGTGGATCTGACACGAGCTGAGGAATGTTATGGCCTCTGTGGGGTGAATGACGGACTGTGTCTGCTATATTATTCATGGTTTCTGCTGTAGATGAATGTCATTTTACTTTCCAGACTCCAAAATGCCTGTAAGGATCAAATTTAGTGTGTCCTGCAAACATCATGGAACATTCCACAATAATATGGAATCCTAATTGAAAGGAAATACACTCCTTAATTTCATTATATGTTTAGAGATGTACATTTAGGAAGAGTTTGCATTTCATGACTATCAAAACTGACATTATACATGCATTTAACACTTTGGGAATTGAACATACTGTTACAGTTACAAACAATTGATAAATATAAATTATTTTAAAGTTTTGTAGTATGTTTGGTCAGCAATTCGCTAGGTCTACACATATTTCCGAGTATCAGTGAATACAAGTTTCATGACTGTGCATTTCTTGTCCTAAAAACGTAAACGCTGAAAATTCATGCGTATTATAAACTATCAACAGCCTTGACTGACCATTATGAAAGTTTGAAATGTAGAAAACTATAACAGGTAAATTGACCTATACCACGTGTCTGTGGTAACACGTAAACGAAGTAAACCAGCATGTTTTGTTGTTCTGTCATCAGATTGGACAATGACTATGTGCGAAATAATAACAATAGCCATATAAGGTCTTCTCGAACTATTATGCAAAAATTAAACTCTTTTGAATGAACAGAAAAATGGTGAAAAACAGTGATTTCTGCAGATCATCTGCAAATATGTACAGAACATAATGAATAAAAAATTAATAGAGACTACAATTATACTACATACATGTGAAGATTTTGGCATTTATAGTCTTCAAAACCAATATGAAGATCTCAGAGATTCAAATTAAATCTCAAATAAATACATCAAATGCAATTATTTGTGCATGATTGTACAATACTACATGTTAATATTTAGGCAAGAGTTTTCCTCATGAGGTTCTAAGAAATTCAAATGAAATCTCAAATAAAAATTCCAGTGCTCTTGATTTCAATAACTCTCCTGAAGATGTTGATAATTTTGAGTGACTGGCGGGTACACCTCCAACACTTGATGTTCTTCTGAAGACGCACCGCGACTTCTACAGTAGACACAGGCCAGAACGATGCAGGAGATGATGCCGGAAATGACACCGAGCCAGGCCAGGATGATAGAATACTGAACTCCCAATCGATAGTCCACGGTAAAAGGTAAGTTGACTGGGATATCTTTTTGCAGTTGTGAGAATTGGTCGTTTGTCTTCAGGTTTGCATTGATCATCCGTCCGAGAAGTGTGGATTCAGAGACCACTGAAAAAGTATTATGTCGATGTTTAATCATTCTATAAATATTATAATAATTACTCTGACCTAAGCTTTAAAGTCTTATAACCCAAGCTTGAAAACCAAAGAATTTTTTTTTATCGGAAATTTTTATTCCATGACATGTTTTTTTATTTGCATTTGATCGTACCTCCTAGAAACACAAGAATGCCACCAACAACGACACGTGAAGATTTAAGGAGGACAGATCTTTGGTTCACCAGGAGAAGGACAAAGCCAGCACAACACACGATGATAGCAAAGCAAGCTTCTAGCTGAATCTCCACAAAATGAGCTGTGATAGGTAATAATCAATAATTGTATTTTGTTTTATATTTGTATATTTATTTTAATTTTGCTGTTGGCAAACTTGTTAGAGACCTTTATGACGTAGACTCAAAATATCTTTTTAATTCATAGTCAGAAAATTATTCGAATTGTAGGATTTCCGTATTTTTCTGGAAGAAATTATTACAGCAAATACATCTATATATACTGTAGATCACTAAATTTTGGCGAAACAGTCATTGATTCCTTTTAATTTATTAGCGAGATTTAATTTTCACGAGTTGTGGTTATTCCTCTAAATAATCATAAGAAATATTATTATAAGCGAGAATGAAATAAAAAGTGATTTACAGTAGCATAAATTAATCCCATGTCTACATTATATGTAATTTTTTAATATCATAAGGAAGAGATTCTCTATATAAGAATACTCTATTAAAGGAGATCATCAGATGTTAAACAAGTCAGTGCATTTGAAAAGATTTTTTTATGAAAACATCCGGACTAATTAGCTTGATTTTCATTGAAACTACATGTATATGCACTCGTGGACAGTAAGAAAGTAAACTTTGAAGAATATCATGAAAAATATCATTTAATCATAACTTGAATTTATCATTATCAACATGATTAGTTAAAACGATAATGAGCTTACGCATGCCGGGTGAGTAGGCGGCGTTATCTTCCTTGGAAGAGGATAAAGAATCAGATTTGCACACTTCAGAGGGGTAACACATCTGATAATAAAATATACTGAAGGCTGCCTTCATCTAGAATACAAAAGAAAGCGAGTTTGTTAAAACTGTTCAGAAACATTTTATGCTGAATTTTAAGCCAATGGTTGTACGAGTCTTGCCATTTTTATGATGTTTAACATATTCTTGAGTGAAGAAAAAAGTTTTGAGATGCATTTTCGGGTCACAGACACAATGTCCGCCCGTGTTTTGTTGAGGATTGACTCTCTGGAAGATAAGCTCGGTGTCTGAGATGCATTCATTTTGTAAACATTTTCCCCACTGCTCGATTGTAGGGACTTTTAAAAAAATACCCAATGGTATGTCCCTTCTGCTAAACATGCTAAAGGCTTAAACCACATTAACTGAAATTAGGTTTACATGTTTTCGAACAGACTTTAGTTAACAATAAACACATAATTAATAGTGAATTATGACAAAACAGTGTCAGAGAGCAAAATATTTCAAGGTTTTCAAGGTCATTGACGCTGACCAAAAAAAATTAACTCAATATCATTATGTGTGTTAAATCAATGAAGATACATACATGTAACTTGAAGGGAATTCTTCCAAAGAACTAAATATCAATTTTCTAAACTTACTCCCTTTGGGTACAGTTCATTGGTGATGTACACAACAAGCCATCCTGGTGTTAACATGGCGACTGTCCAACATGTCAAGGTCACTCCAATTAGCACCAAGGAAACAAAAGACAATTTGGAAGCCATTCTTCTAAATGAATAAATAAATTTGATGTTTAGTTAGAATGTAAAATGATTTTGTATGACATCATGAGAAAGAGAATGAGAGAGATTTCACATACTCGATTAAATGACATTTTTTTTGCTAAAACAAAAAAGAATTGAGCACCAAAACGATGTAAACAAAAAACAAATATGCCGAATAATGGCTGTATTTAGTAAACTGTGACAGGATTTTAATTTTTATTGAATAAAATAATTGACAAATTAAATTATTTAGTGGTTATAGACTTATTTATCGCTTCGTATTCATGCATAATAGTGATTTGGGATATATACGACATCGGATTCGATACAGTCGGTAAGAATTAATTTCTAAACTTAATTTATTGTCTCGTCAATTGATTTAAATTTTATGTCATGCCTACAATAAAGATGATTAAATTTTACTTCCAAGACATTTAGATCGTATTTATTTTATCAAAAACGCACAATTTTCGCGGCGGAGCAGAGATACTAACAGGTTCGTTTTGAGAAGACTTTTTTTACCGTAATTTTAAAAGAGTGATTTTTTAAAGTTCTCAAATTGATATTTTATAGTCTCTAAAAATGTTTTCATGATAATTAATATCTGTACATATGTGATAACAATTAGCTAAAAAAAAAAACGATGGTGATAACTTACGCTCTAAATTCAGATGTCACACAGGATTATATGACGAAATAATATTATGAATGGGTAAAATTAGGTCAATATTTAACAGCTGACCATATTTTTTGTTTAACTGTAATTTATCTAACTTGAAACGTGAATTAACTTTGAAAGTAAATATCTCTCTTTTTGCAAATAAAATAAAAAATCTAACAAATATACGATCTCTTCAGCAACAGCTAGAGGAATTGTGAAAACTGAATAGATTCTCAGGTAACTGTCATCGGATCAACTCTTATTTATGATTAAAATAAACAATTCAGCACTTTTTTTAAATTAATGGTAAGATGTATTTACAATGTGGCTGCTTATTGCTACTCTAAACATGCTAAATTCATTCGTACACGATATACATGAAAGACAGAGGAAATTCGAGCAACTGAAAATTCGTCAGCGTCCCTTCCTTACAAAAACACTTCCTAAATCAGTAAAATTAGTTCTAAAATGACGAACGTAGTCACTGCAAACAAATTATCAATCACAGAGATGTTTTAGTAAGATTAAGACTGTTAAATTTATTTTCTGTATCCTACTTGTACGAGATCTGGCTGAAGCTGAAAGTTTGTCAACTTTGACTTGAAATTAAAAACTATTTGCACATAAAATCAAAATTCCAACAAATACGTTCTCTAGAAACATTTATTTTTAATCATTTCTAAGAACTTACATTATTGCAAGGTAATCCAATTTATTGCAAAAGCACTTTTTGTAAGAGCCCACTTTTCACGACTTTTCACCGTTTTTTGATGTAACTGCGCATGCGTGGACTCTTTTTTTGGAGTCTTTTCTGGACTGAAATTCTCACTTCCGTTAACGCCGTTTTTGGAGTTCGTCTAGAATGATTAAGCGACTCACTGTCACGTGTGACCGTAAAAATCCCCCCAAAGCTTTTCCCTTTATGTTCTACCTGTATTAAACAACCACCTGTCTAACGCGACCAACGACCGTGATTTTCCTGACCATTTTTTGAACTTTCAAGCAATTTTACCTGAATTTAACGACTACATAATTTCCGATTCCTACTTTCGATTTAGATCTAGCATTCTGGTTCAAAACAACTACAGACACGCTTTTATTTCATTTAATAATTATAAAATGCGAGTTTTACGACTAAAATAACATTAACACATAAATATTTTTACTTACGCTTTGATATTTATTGAATATACATTAAAATCTAAAACACAAACATCACGTTTTTCTGTCCAGTGATTGAGCGCCATTTTGAAAATAGACGTTCGAGGTCGATCCCGATGTCATTTCATGCTAGGGGCCTATAAGGGCCAAATATATATTCAGCTGTAAAAAGTGCCTTTTTAACTTTAATTAACAAGTAACCAAACCCTAGATGTTTATTTAAGTGCATTGTGTCACCAATGGGTATGTAAACACACGCTAGCTAGTACCCACACCAGGAGATAATTGAAATACCTGGTCACAAACAGGCAATTAGACACGGTAGTTCAGTAATGAAAAAAATTATGTAGGTTATATAAAAATTTAATTCATAAATATAATTTAATTTGACACCAAGTGCATAACAAAAATCATGATACAGTTTTAATTCTTAGTAATATGCAAAACATATGAAGTTATATATATAGGCTATCATGTTATTAAAAAAAAACTATTATTAGGAAAAATATCTGCAGCTTTTTTATACTGTATGTAAATAATATTAATATTTTCAGATGTTCACAATATTTCCCAATAATCACTTGATCTTGAGAAGAAAATTTTTTAAAGATTTTACCATCATATTCCTCAAACAGGGCAATTGTAAAAGCATTTTAGATTTGAGCAGTACCTATTAAAAGAGGAAATAAATAGAAGGTGTTATAAAATACATTCAACATACACGTGTGATATTTTTGGCATTGTACATTTGAACACTGCGGAAAGTAAGCAACCTGTATTAAGAGACCACCTGTCATATGTGACTTTTTTCTTTCTCCGTTGGAAGTTCTCTTAATACAGGTTTGACTGAATAATATGAACAAGTCTATGGCACGCCAAATTCACAAAAATGAGATAAACCTAGTTTCACAATTGATAAACTAGGTTTATCGACTGTAAACTATAGTTTACAAACCGTAAACTATAGTTAACGATTCGTTAAGTATAGTGTTCATCAGTAAAACTATATTTAACGGTCGTTAACTATAGTTTACGAATGCTAATCTAAGTTTTTATGTCTGAATAAAGCGTTAACAATAGATTTTGTTGATAAACATAGATTCACGTTTGTAAACTATAGTTTACAATCGTAAAGTATAGTGAAGAGTTGTTAATCATAGTTTCACAAATTGTGAAACTATATTTATCAGATCGTTAACTATAGTTAACGGTTTGTAAACTATAGTTTACAAATCGTGAAACTGTATTTATCAGATAATCTATGTTTTGCAATCGCAAATGATTGTTTTCAATGTTAAGTATAGTTTACGGTTGTGAAACATAGATTTTCGCGTTAACTACGGTTTACAGATGTAAAATATAGATTATCGTTGTTAACTATAGTTTACAGTCCGTAAACTATACTAGTAGTTTACAACCGATAAACCTAGACTATCGACTGTGAAACTATGTTTTGCTCATTTTTGTGGATTTGGCGTGCCATACAAGCCCATTTTTGGTTAATTTTCAATAGTTTGCGTAAAATCAATGAACACTTTGAATTAGTTACATGTAGTAAAAGTAGAATGTCCTTCGTTATTTTTCTATAAACAAATATTTTATATAGAAACTCTCTGGCGATGAAAGCTGAATTGTAGCATTATGCTTTTATTTATCATTATGTCTTGGACCATACTTATCCACAGCGTGGTGATCAAAGATAAAAATAGTATATCATAACGCTACAGTTTTCAGCTGTAGTGATGATGTAACCCGGTAAGATTTTAATCATTAATATACCATTCACAAATCAATGAAATATTTTACCTGATTATATTTATATATTTGGTATTTATGAACATGATGAATAAAGATAAGAAAGATGACGGATGAAAATAATGTCATTGAAACAATTTAATAGTGTATTTCCTACGTTACCCTGAAATACGAACAAAATTTAGTGTACTTTAAATGCATGGAATGTGTAGTCCGTTAAAAATCCACATGAAAATTAAGTACCGGAAGTTGCACAACTGTATCCATTCAATAATGGTTGTTAATTAAAATAAAAATTAGGATTCACTTTGTGTTGATGTGCCCTCAGTTAAAAAGACTTTATATAGTTCTGCATTGACACATTTTTCACATCAATAAGAGCTACTGTTACCCAAACATATTCATGATATTGTAATGCATCATTTTATCTTAAAGTTATCAAAAACAGCGGGGTTTTTCTGTTGTTTTTTTTATCCGCGTCTGTGCTTACATCTACACGTGTGGACACAAGTAGGTCACGGAACCATTGCCCCTGTGAGGGGAACGAAGGTTTAACAATGAATAAACTAGCTACTGTGAAATATTCATGTCACCCAATGCAGCACTTAATAAGAATTGTACAACTCTAAAATTAATTAAAGTGCAAATGCATGTACTTTTACACTCAGTCTCTGAATAAACAAATGGATGCAAATTTCATGAATTAACAATGCCATGTAAATCCTGGAATTTATTTTCAGTACAGCAGTACCTGGATGCTCCATCTTCCCTTTACTTTTTGCCACTATATCTTAACATGAAACCACAACATAAGATTAAAATCTTGAAATCTTACCGATGCCTGTATGTGAACACACTACATGTCTCCCTTTCTATGTAAACAAAGAACCACAGACTCGCGATTGCAGACTTAACGGGGGAAAGGCTCAAGTAATAATAGACTTACGATTTGACGATTTTATGCCCTCGAAATCGAAGTTCTTGGGTATACAGGTTTTACCCTGTCCGTCCGTCTGTCTACAGCTGTCTTTGTATTTGCCCGTAAAAAAATTTTGCCCACGACTTTTGAGGTGGTGGGACTATGGCTTTCATATTTAACACAAGGTGTATTCCTTGTGACAAGATTTTGACCTCTCGACATTGACCATAGTGTTAGAAGATCGTACCAAACTTTAACCTTGGCAATGACTTATGCCAACAGTTAAAAATAGGGTTTTTATATTTCACAGGTGTATTCATTGTAACATTTTTAAGACCTTGCTTAAGGTACCAATACTTTTGGTCTTTGGAGTTTGACATGAATTTGAGAAAATTCAACCCTCTCTATTACCTGTCTTACGGGAGCATCAATTCAATGTTTCACAAACACATTTTGTTGTTAACAAAAACATCTAATATGACTCTGCATCAATAAATTATTCAATATTTCACCTTGTTCACTTTTTTCATATATTACTGTAACATAAAGCTGATTTGAGAGACCTATTTAAAGTAAAAGAATTGGGTAAACGATTTACTTTATCGAATCCCTCTCATCCTTCAATGTAAACATCAAGACCACAATCTGTACATGTAGCTAATTTACATGTCATTGTATCTATATAATGTGCTGAATATATGGCAGGAAACCACTAGGCTTATATACGAGGGTCATTCAAAAAGTTCGTAGACTTTTGACCTAACTTTTTTTATTTTACGTCATATTATATCCAAATTTAGTACACATATTTTAACAAAAAATTCGAATAATTTGAGAAAAAAATGGCATATTTATAAAAAGATATCCGTGTCGTCAATGTGGATATAAGGGAAATGATAAAGATGATGAACCTGAGATAGAAACTGTACAGGCAGTTGAGACAACATTGGCTGGTGCTGGACTTGTGATTGAATCGTCCGATTCAATCTCTCTACCACTCAAAAAATGTATTTTCCATTTCATACAAATAAACGGCTTATATTTCATACATTTCCTTGTTTATACAGAATGTTTTCAGTTTGTTAAAGAAATTTCCCGAATGCAAAGTTTTACTTCTAAGGTTGTCTGCATTCCCATGCTTTGTACCCGGCCTGTGTCGTATTTCTAGATCATAAGTACCAAGAAATTTAATCCATCTGGCCACCTGTACTTGGGGGTCTTTAAAACTCATAAGCCACTTTAGTGCACTATGGTCAGTGTACACAATTGTCTCATGGCCATACAAGTAATGTCGAAAATGTTTACAGGCAAATACTACTGCCAAAAGCTCCTTTCTAGTTATACACTATTTCCGCTCACTTTTCGATAGAGTCCTACTGGCATAAAATATTACTCGAACTTTACCATCTATTTCTTGAGAACGAACTGCACCGAGACCTACTTGACTTGCGTTTGTGTCTAAAATAAACTGTGCCGAAGAAGTCAGGGTATGCAAGAATTGGAGCAGTGACTAAATGGTGCTTAAGTTTAAACCTAAATAGAGTTTTGGCTAGTGAGGAGAAAACTGCATTAAATCTCCTATAATAACTACAAAGACCAACAAAAGAACGCACTTCACTTACATCTATGGGAACAGGCCAGTCTGTTACTACTGCTATTTTCTGAGGGTCGGTGTGAACTCCATGTTCTGAAACACGGTATCCCAAAAACAAAATCTCTTTCTTGAACAAGGTAATTTAGAAGGTTTCAGCTTTAGTCCTGCCTCGTGTATTTTCTGAAACACTTGCTCCAGATTTTGAAGTATCTCTTCAAAAGTGCTTCAAAGACAATAATATCGTCAATATATAGCTGTACACTAAACATATTTAAAAATTTAACCCGGCGAGAACTGTCTCCATCAGAGTCTGTTACAGAGTCCAAAGGGCATTACTGAAAATTTAAAAAGCCCATTTCTTGTGCCAAAAGCTGTTTATGGTTTTTCAGCTTCATCCATTTCCACTTGCCAATACCCCGAATGAAGGTCTAGGGTGCAAAACCAGAGAGCTTCTTGTAGACGATCAAGGGAGTCATCGATTCGCGGCAAGGGATAATCATCTTTCACTTTCTACCTTTTCATTTAGCATCACTGAATTAATCATATAATCATCCTCAGATTTAACTACGTACACTATCGAAGTGACTCCAACAACTGTATTTCTATAAATGGTTTGCACCTGCTCCGACATATTCATCAAACGCACCGTGACATTCTTAGTTGGGTTAACCAATGTTCTAGCCATTCGTGCTTTACTGCCGTCATCAATCTTTTTGATAGGCTCTATCAGTATAGGTCCTTTTACCTGATCTCCTGGAGGTGACAATAACTGCCCAGAACAACTCATCTCACTATTTTGGGGAATTGTTTTATTTTCCTCACGACTAACAATTAAGCAACCTATTTGGTCCTGTAAATGCAGTTCATGTTTTACTTTTCATTTTAGTATGTGCTATATCCACTAAGCATTGACCTGATCGAAGGAAGTCCAAGCCTAGAATTCCGTCTGCTTTAATGTTTGCCACGATAGCTTGGCAGTAAACCTCGTGGTCTCCTAACTTAAAAAGAAAGTTACCTAGTCCCTTCACTTTTAACGTAGTTCCATCAGCA